TGTTGTTGTTCTTGTTCTTGTTCCTCCTGGTGGTGGTGGTGGTGGTGATGGTAGTGGTGTATAGATATAAGTATGTATTTATATTGTACAGATTGTTTCTTATCCTGCATCTTTCTATCTGTATTTGTTGCTGTTGCTGTTGCTGCTGCTATTGTTGCTGTTGTTACATCTTTATTGCTAATAACTACTATTGTTGTTGTACTTATCATCAATAGCCCAAAAAATATTTGTGCCATTCTATTCAACAACAGCATCAGCAACAGCAGCAACAACAGCAGCAAATTAGTCCATTAATGTGTGCCTTATAACCATCATGTTCTTATTCTCCTTCCTAATGTCCATATCCAATTGTCATTGTTATTTCCTCTGCTCCTCTGTCTACACATATAATATATAACCATATAATATACAATAATAATAAATATAAATATATTTATATATATATATATATATATATATATATATGTATATATATATGTATATATGTATTTATTTTTTAGGTATTAGAGGTAAAAGGTCGTCGTGCAGTAGTACAAGTATTTGAAGGAACTTCTGGTATAGATAATCGTCATTGTCATGCAGAATTTCGTGGTGATGTATTAAAAATGGCAATTTCTGAGGATATGTTAGGTAGGGCATTTAATGGTAGTGGTAAGCCAATAGATAGAGGACCTAAAGTATTAGCAGAAGATTTCCTAGATATTAATGGTTATCCTATTAATCCTCAATGTAGAGTATATCCAAGAGAAATGATACAAACAGGTATTAGTACTATTGATGTTATGAATTCTGTTGTTAGAGGACAAAAAATACCTCTCTTCTCTGCTGCTGGTCTACCTCATAACGAAATTGGTGCACAAATCTGTAGACAAGCTAGTCTTGTTGCTGGTAAAGATGTATTAGATCATTCTAATGAAAATTTTGCTGTTGTATTTGGTGCTATGGGTGTCAACATGGAGACAGCAAGATTCTTTCGTCAAGATTTCGAGGAAAATGGTAGTATGGAGAGAGTTGCATTATTCCTTAATCTTGCTAATGATCCTACTATTGAACGTATTATTACTCCTCGTCTTGCATTAACTACTGCAGAGTATTTAGCATTCGAGAGGGAAATGCATGTATTTGTTATTCTTACCGATATGTCTGCTTATGCTGATGCATTAAGAGAAGTCTCTGCTGCTAGAGAAGAAGTACCAGGAAGAAGAGGATATCCTGGTTATATGTATACCGATCTGTCTACTATCTATGAGAGAGCAGGAAGAGTTGAAGGACGTAATGGATCTATTACGCAATTCCCTATTCTTACTATGCCTAATGATGATATTACGCATCCTATTCCTGATCTTACTGGATATATTACTGAGGGACAAATCTTTGTTGATAGAGCTCTGCATAATAGACAGATTTATCCTCCTATTAATGTACTTCCTTCTCTTAGTAGACTCATGAAAAGTGGTATCGGTAAAGGAATGACCAGAGAAGATCATCCTGCTGTTTCCGATCAGGTAAGAATCAATAATATAAATCAATAGATATAAATGTATATATAATGTAGTAATTACTATTTCTTTTATTTCTTTTCTTATATTGTTATTCCCATCAGTAGCAGTGCCGTGCATGCAGATGTGCAATATGAACAGTTGCATCATACATCAGAGGATATTTGTTATAGTATACAAACCATTTGCTGTTTCGCTATTTTATTGTGTTAATACTGTTGCTGCTGTTTTTCATCCTGCTGCTGTTGTTGTTGTTGAATTGTGTGGGTGTATTTCTTCAGTTATACGCGAACTACGCTATAGGTCAAGATACACGTGCTATGAAGGCAGTGGTAGGAGAAGAGGCATTATCTGCTGATGATATGTTATATATGGAATTTACGGATAAATTTGAGAGAAGATTCTTACAACAAGGTCCTTATGAAGGTCGTGATATATTCCAAAGTCTGGATATTGCATGGGAATTATTAAGAACTTTCCCTGAAGATATGCTGAAAAAAATTAAAGAAGATCTTCTTAGAAAATATTATCCAAGAACTAAATATATGGAGGCACAAGTTAGTGATAAGAGAGCACCACCACCTAAGGAAGCATAAAAATATATAAAAGAAAAAAAGTATAATGCAGCATATATAATCAGGCAGTGCAGCAGAAATGATTAATTATATACCAGTTGTGTGTATTTATGCGCATAAATACATATATAAACAATGACTTAGACATGACAGGCTATTACTTCTTCTATCTCTTACACCGATTGTTTACTCTTATCCATGCAGCAGAAAGCTGCATGGAAGGAGCCGTGCCTTCAACTCCATATATTTCTAGTATGAATGTACTTCTATATATATTATAATGCATATGTATATTATATATATAATTATATATATGCTTATATATATGTAAATAAGTACCTCTTTTGGGGGAGTTTGTTGACACGGGAGCTGTTTTGGATCTTGAAACTCTTTATTATTTATATACATTTTCATCTTTATAATCTTAAGGGAACGGCAGATGACGCGCATGCAAGGAAATCACCATCCAACTAGCAAACCAGTGATACTTATGTAAGCTGGTTATCCTTATTTATTTATTCCTCTACAGTTTCTTTGAAGGGAATAAATGAGGGTATACAAGAACCTCCTTATCCTCCTTTAGAGGGAGGGAGGAGGTCTGTGCTGTTGATGATTTGAATCGCTGGTGCTGATGCTGTGCAGTTTCCATTTCCGTTTCTTTTGCTCGGTATATTGCTAGAGGCAAACAGCATAATACGCATAAGGAACGATGCCTCCTACTCTTAAATATAATATATATATTTTATTTATATATATTATATAGGACGGTTTCAAGAAAGCTTTCGCATTTTCCAACGAGAGCTTCGTTAATTTCAGCTGAAACCGTCCTCTCACTTGGCGCCTTTTTAGGCGATATTTTCGAAACCGTAAGAGTTTGCAGGGCCAGTGAGGCTTCGACTTTAAGAAAAAGGAATTTCATTCATGAAATTCATTGATTTCATGAACCGTGGGTTCACATATTTCAGGGTTTCCGCGCTGTTGTGCAAATCACGAAAAACGCACAAAAAAAAGTCGAAACTGGCCGAAACTTGTCTTGTTTGTTAGTTTTTAAATACAAATTAAACGAATTAATTCCTTATTATTAGAGAACAACCCAATTATTCGGTAGATTTTCCACTTTAGTCGAAGGCAGACGAGAATACTTTTGCTCAGGAGCACGTACACCCCAACGGAAAGCTGAACATCCTGATCAGCTTTCCGTTAGGAAAGCTTATCTGATTTATGTAGACGAAGTTTTGGAGAATTGCAAAAGCACTGATTTTTTGCTTTTGTTTGTTTATCGCATCGTGTTGTTGCTTTTGTATTTCTTGTTTTTATACCATCGTATATATATTCGGGTTTATAGCAGAAGTTTTTTCCACTCTTTTTCTACATTTCGCAATGCCCGAAAGAAGCAACAGAAGAAGAAGGCGTCGCCGGCTTTCCCCATCAGGGTTTCTCCTGCAAACACCTGTTGTGCCTCACTTTGTCGAAAGGAGACCAACTCCTCCGGCTCCTCGTAACAGAGATCGCCTGCTGTGGCTGTCAGAGGAAACCAGCGGAAGTGATAGTGTAGTTGAGATCGACCCCCCCACTGAAGAGGCAGCGAAAGCAGCAGTTGCACCAGCTGCCGCGGTTCCTCCGCCGCCCGAGACAGAGAAAGCAAGCGTACCACGTATAGGACAAGAGGAAGGTGGAAGGACTACCCTGAATGACTACACAGAATCCTTTGCAGGTGCGCCGAACACTGTCCTTTGGGCGTTAAACCAACAAGTGCTCTGCGTTCAAGGTTACGCAAGCCAAATAGATAAATAGATACAATCCCGCTGCCATTTCTTAATATGAACATCCCCGTCATAATAGCCCCATGCCCACTTCTGCTCCGCGACGGATGCTGCACTATACGTAGTTGTCAGTTCAACCACGTTGGCTTCCGAGACCCTATTCCTCCCCCTCCACCTCCTGATGAAGAAGAAGAAAGAGCAAACAGGTGGCATCCAAAGATAGACGTGCTGTCCCCACGTCGGGGAAATGCTTCTCCCTTTAATGCAAACGATATTCTCCTCCGCATTCGTTTTCTCCTAGAAGATAAAAAGCTGACCCTATTCAATGTGCCACCTCTACAGTTCTTCGAGGCAAGTTGGCTTGTGAGACACCTCCTTTTTACTGCAGTTTATACACACAAATGCATCAACTGCTTGTATGCATACATGCATACATGCATGCATGTGTGTATTCATTCATTCATGTATGCATGCATGTATGTACGAAAATCGTATTCTTAAGCTCTTTTTCCTCAGGATGTCTACTGCAGCGGTCGTCTTGTCCGCATTCTTGGGTATGCAACATTTAATTGCTTTGAGGCGGCAGTTGAGAAGCTTAGAGAGACGATGCTGCTAGAGGAAGCAGCAGCTGCTGGTGAGTCTATATACCAAGAAACCCAGTCAATCTCTATGATCTCTAAACAACAGCACAAGCAGCAGCAAATGCAGCACGAGGAACAGCTCCTGTACCAGCACTTGCAACAGCGAACTTCGACTGTCTGCCTTGCAGATATGCACAGAAGATAACTACACTGGCAGGAGTCGTTCCTAGACTGGTACTGCAAGGCCGCGACACAGATCCAAAGTTCTGCACATACTTTGTATATCTACAACTACGTCGTTGGCTCGTCAGGTTGAGAGATAGAGCGGTAAATCTAACTTGCATGGGTGTATGCATGCGTGTGCATGCATGCGTGTATATGCATGCTTCCATACAAATCTTAGCGACGTGTATGTAATAATAATAATTCATGACTTTTGCAGCTGTTGGACACCCACAACTGTCCATTTAAGAGGAGAAGTCACATAGAAGCGATACCTGCACTACACACGGCTTTACACGAGTTGGAGAGAGGAGTATTCTTACAAGGAGCAGACTATGGAAAAATACGACAAAGGAGATTGGTGTTTAATATTGCTGCAGAGAGCAATACTATACCTTTACCTCCATTACCTGAGACACGGCATTCTCTTCCTCAGCAGCAGCTGACAGCCAACACAACAACACGACGGCTCGCACCTCTATCTGCTGTACTACGGCATCATGCAGGGTTGTTAAGAGATGCATCAAGGACTATGAACTCTCCACGAGCTAGCGAAGACTCCGATAGCTTCTGTTGCGGCAGTGTTATAGATGAAGAAGAATACCTTGGTGCAGCAAAAGTTACAATCCATCGGGAGGAGAGCAACAGGAGGACCAAGTATATCCTTGAAGACCTACAACTTTAGTACAAGGGATTAATAATTATGCTTAGGAGCATTTATATATATTATTTATTATAAAGGAAACAGAAGAAATGCATCTACTACTACGTCTATCGCATCGACACCTAAAATGCATCTCCGATCTATCCCTATAATTAACTATACAAATATGTATCTGTACCTGTTGTAGCTACCTACACGACGTATGCCTTCTTTATATACATACATGCATGCATTATACGGGCTTAAATTTATTTATCGCAGCAAATCGCTGACCTATTTACCGGCTATAGTAAATAGTCGCCTCTTTTTATATTAAAGGCACCCAATACAACAATAACAATAACAACGCCATTTCTTTAGGCAAATATTTAAGTTTGGGGAGTCCAATGCTGTCAACGTCACACAATATTTAGTAGGAAACAACAAAACACACGCAATATGCATGCATGTATGCATGCATCATGCATGCATCATGCGCGTGTGTGAATGCGTGCATGTTAGATCGACACCATTAACTCCTATTGAGCGGATGTAACAGCAATACGATGTATTGGTTGCTGCCGCAAGTGAGAAATCCCCCTGTACCTGCAGCAGCTGTTACGGTTGCTGCACATGTTGCGGTTCCTGCTGCTGCAGCAGCTGCTGCTATTGCTGCTGGCTGCGGTCGTGTATGGATTGATGTTCGTTTCTGTATTTGCACGTCCAGCCGCTGAAGATGGCGCCAAAAGATTCATTCACCTCGCCTCGTATTGCATCACTGCAACAACAACAGCAACAACAAAAGAACAAAAAGATAAAAAGAAGAAAATGATTAGATAAACAAATGTATACGGTCTACAAGCATCTGCAAGATGTATATGCATGCAAGTTAAGTAAGAAATAAGAATAAATAGGGAATAACTAAATTAATGAATATATATTACTATTATAAATATTTCTTACTTTTTCTGGATCTTTTCTTGTAAAGAATTCGACTGCCACAACTTCTGCATCGAACAGCTGCTGTTGGCTGTAAAGTTACGTCACATCCACACTCTGCACACAAAGGAGAAAACAGAAGAAAAAAAAAGAAGAAAAATACGAAGAAAAATAAAGAAAAGGAAATAAATACTTAATCTATATAAATATAAAATAATAATTATAAGGTGGAAGTATAGGGGTATAACAGAGAAGAAAACTATTTCTCTTATATTTATAATTATTTATTTATTTATTTATTTATTTATTTATTATAAGAGGAGGGACTGACCACCACAGATGTATGTAACGGGCTCAAGTTGAGCGTTGTTATCCTCAATATCCATCTTTGCTGCTGCTGCTGCTGCTGCTTTTGCTGCTGTTGTTGCTGTTGTTGCTGTTGTTTGCTGCTGCTATTGTTGTTGTTGCTATTGCTGCTGCTGTTGCTGTTGCTGTTGCAGTTATTGCTGCTGTTGCTGCTGTTGTTGCTGCAGCTGTTGCTTCTTCTGCCTTTGATGTTGGAGGCAATGACTCTATGCTGCTGCTGCTGCTTGTGCTGCTGTATATTTATTTATTTATTTATTTACTATTCTTTTTTGTCATAAAAAATAAAGAAAATATAAATATATATATCTTCTTCCTTTTCTTCTCCTCCTTCTTCTTCTTCCTTCTTTCTTCTTCTCTTTTGGGGCTTTGAGGAGTCAATGCATGCAAGCATGCATGCAGCAGCAACAACATTTTACTATTATTTTTAGTATTTAATTAATTTTTATTCTTTTTTTGTATTTTTATGTCCTTTAAGTAGCAAAATATTATTAACAGGATGAATATTATATAGAAGGCTTTCTTTGTATGCAGCAGCAGCAGCAGCAGCAGCAGCAGCAGCAGCAAAACATAGGAAGACTCAATAACAATTTCTTCTTTCCTTCCTCCCCCTATTAACATTTATTACACACAGAGATATGCACACAACAACAAAGGCAGCAGCAGCAGCAGCAACAGCAGCAGCAGCAGCAAGACCAAGAGCAACAGTGGGAGCTGTAAGGCGATGCTGTCCGCTGCTGCTGCACACATATAGACCTTCTGCTCCTCCTCTTTGTTCTGCTGCAGCAAGGAGATCTGCTGCTGCTGCTGCTGTTGCTCTGCTTGCGGCTGATTCTGCTGCTGCTGCTGCTGCTGCTGCAGGAACTTCTGCTGCTCCTCGTCTATTCAAGTCGGCAGCTCGACACCTCTCCACTCGCGCTGCTACTGCTGCCTGCCAACCGGCAGAAGCAGCAGCAGCAGCAGAAGCAGCAACAGCAGCAGCACGAAGCGCAGCAAATGGAGGAGACGTCGATACACCTGCAGCAGCAGCAGCAGCAGCAGCAGCAGCAAACGAAATAACCAAAGAAAAGATTGAAGGCGCATTCAATCTTGTTAGGAGTCTATTGTCACGTCAGCAGCAGCAGCAGCAGCAACCGCAGCAGCAACAGCAGCAGCAGCAGCAACAACAACAGCAGAATGCATGCACTGCTGCTCAAGGAGGGCTAGTGGGGGAGGCGGAAGAAATCCTCCGAAGGCTTTCCTACCCACGACTAGCAGCAGCAGCAGCAACACAGGATCCACAAGCAGCAGTAGCAGCAGCAGCAGCAGCAGACCAAGCAGGAGGAGCAGCAGCAACAGCAGCAGCAGCAGACCAAGCAGGAGGAGCAGCAGCAACAGCAGCAGCAGCAAGTTGGCAGTACGAGGAATGCGCGGCAGTTGATTTGCTGCTGCAGGTTGCTTGCTGCGGACTACCATCTGCAGCAGCAGGAACTGCAGCAACATCAGCAGCAGCAGCAACAGCAGCAGCAGCAGCAGCCAGCGGTAGTACTGCGGCTATACTGAAAGATGGGGAGGGCATTGCTACGGTGCTGCTGCTGCTGCAGCAGCTGCTGCAGTCGCGGTGGCTGCCTCACCCGCAGCTGCTGCTGCTACTACAGAAGCAGCTGCCGCTGCTGCTAGTGCGTATTGAGCAGCAGCAACTCAGGTGTATATGCAGCTTCCTCTTGCTGCAGCTGCTAGCGGAGGCACGTGTGGGTTTGCTGCAGCAGCAGCAATTTGATTCCCTTGTTGTGCAGCTGCTGCAGCAACTACCTATCCTTGCCAGCAGCAGCAGCAACAGCAGCAGCAGCAGCAGCGGCAGTTTAAACTACAGCTGGAGAGGGCATGCAGCAGCACCGCCAGCCCATACTTTAGCTGCTGCTGCGCTGCAGCTGCTGCTCTGCGATAGAACAGAGCAGCAGCAGCAGCAGCAGCAGCAGCAAGAGTTGGAGCAGCACGTGCCGCAGTGGCAGAAGCGCGTTAATGTTTTGCTGCAGCGGCTCCTGCAGCAGCAACACAAGCTGCTGCTGCTGCAGCAAAAGGAGGGTTATATGAACAGCAGCAGCAACAGCAACAGCAGCAGCAGCAGCACCAGCGCAGGTAAGGATCTACAACAAACCCTTTTCCTTAAACCCTACCGACCCCCTCTAAACCCTAAACCCTAAAACCCTTGCAGCCTGCCATTAGGGTTTAGGGTTTGTGGTTTGCTGCAGATAAGGAATGCTGCCAATGGACGCATGCGCTGCTGCAGCTAGCAGCAGGACCTTCGTGGCTGCTGCCTGCAGCAGCAGCAGCAGCAGAAGCAGCAGCAGAATCAGCAGCAGAAGATGCTGCTGCAGCAAGAACAACAGAAGCAGCAGCAGCAGCAGGAGATGCAGCGATGCAGAAGCAGCTGCAGCATTTCCGCCGGGCAATAGAGCAGCAGCAGCAGCAGCAGCAAGCAGCAGCAGCAGGAGCAGCAGCAGGAAGTCCTCAGCAGCACCCGCTCGATAAGAAACATCTTGATGCTATTGTCCGTCAAACCCTAAACCCTAAACCCTAAACCCTCAGACAGACAGCAATACACTATACATAACAACAATAAACCCTAATGCTAGGGTTTAGGGTTTAGGGTTTAGGGTTTGTGTGTTCTTTAGGTGTCTGCATTAAACCTCGAGGACGGCAGCACCTTCACAACGCAAACCCTCAGTAAACCCTAAACCCTAAACCCTAGAGCAGACACGATAGGGTCCTTATGCTTCCTGCAATGTGTGTAGGGTCTATGTCCTAGGGTTTAGGGTTTAGGGTTTAGGGTTTGTGGTTTAGGGTTTGGCCTTAAGGCTCCATTAACTCTTAAGGGTTGCGGTATATGCGTGGAGGTCGCCACAGAGAAGTAAACCTTAAACCCTAAACCCTAAACCCTAAACCCTAGATACGTATAGAAGAAATAATATTAATAAATAAATGATAGTTCTTCTTGACAGTTGATTGGGTATACTAATTAGGGTTTAGGGTTTAGGGTTTAGGGTTTGCTGTGTTGTATTAGGGATGTTTTTATTAACCAACCAACCCGTCTAACAGCAAAGATGGCCTTGTTAGTCTAAACCCTAAACCCTAAACCCTAAACCCTAAACCCTAGAGATATCCTTCCTTGGGCTACGTTGACGGCTTGCTGCTGCTGTTGCTGCTGCTGCTGTTGTTGTTGTTGCGCTGCAGGCGTCTGTGTTTGCTGCGGCTTCTGCAGCAGCAGCCGCTGCTGCTGCTGCCCCACCACTTTGCTGCCTCACAGACAAGCAGCAATACTAGCAGCAGCAGCAGCAGCAGCAGCAGCAGATTGGGGGAGGAGCTGCGGCAGCAAGCAGCAGCAGCAGCAATGGCTACTATAGGGACAGACACAAGCTTCCTGCTGCGGCGTGCTTCTTGGCTGCCGCTGCTGCAGCAGCAATACCCATCGGTGCATGCAGCAGCACTGCAGCAGCAGCAAAAGAATGAGCAGCAGCAGCAGCAACAGCAACTCCTTGAACAGCAACTGCAGCAGCAGCAGCAACTGCAGCAAAAGAAGCTGGAAGAACTGCAGCGGCTGCAGCTGCAGCAACTCCGCGAGAAGCAGATGCAACACCAGCAGCAGCTGCTGCAGCGGCTGAGGAAGCAGTAACAGCAGCAGCAGCAGCAGCAGCAGCAGCAGCAGTTAGTCTAGATAAGTAGGCTGCTGCTGCCGCTGCTGCTTAACTGCCTTCCTTGCTGCCTTCCATCTCCGTACATTTTGCTGCTGCTGCTCTGTTGGCCTCCGCTGCTGCCGCAGCTGCAGCTGCAGCAGCACAACAACAACACACAAAGCAGCTGCAGCAACTGCAGCAGCAGCAACAGCAGCAGCAGCAGCAACAATAGCGCGAGACGTAGAGGTAGCAGCATAGGGTATTACAACAACAACAACAACAGCAGCAGCAGCAACAGCAGCAGCAGCTAAGTATACCTGGTAACGTTGCTGCTCTTCTTGCTGCTGCTGCTGCCTCCTCTTCTCCAGCTGCAGCAGCAAACGACGTCTTGCTTCCCTCCTATTGTCCGACAGCGCCCTGACAGCAGCAGCAGCAGCAGCAGAAACATGTGCAGCAGCAAGTACAGCAACAGCAGCAACAGAAACATGCACAGCAGCATCTACAGTAGCAACAGCAGCAGCACGAGCAGCAGCAGCAGCAGCAGCAGCAGAATACCTATAAGAATGGCATCTAATATAGATATTATATTTGCTGCAGCAAAGACAGCAGCAATTGCTGCTGCTATTTACTTTGCTGCCTCCATGCCCTCCTCCTCTTGCTGCTGCTTCTCTTATATCTGCAGCAAATAGATTATATGCATGCAGCTGGCGGCGCCATTCATTATTATCTAATAAATCTATTGCTGCTGCTGCTCCTGCTGCTGCTGCTGCTGTTGGTGCTGCTGGTGCTGCTGGGGGTGGTGCTCCTGTTTCTGTTGGTCTCGTTGATGCTGATGCTGCTGCTTCGCCTGCTGCTGATGCTCGTGCTGCTGCTGCTGCTGCTGCAGTTGCTGCTGCTGCTGGCGCTGCCGGTGTTGGTCTTATAGACAAGAGAGGAGGCTGAAGGAAGCAGCAGACTGTTGCTGCTGCTGCTGCTGCTGCTTCGGTGTGTTGTATATCCGAACACAGCAGCAGCAGCAGCAGCAGCAGCAGCGGTATCAGCAGCCGCAATAATTGCTGCTGCTTTTTGTGTTGCTGTTGTCTTGTCATTGTTGCTGCTGCTGCTACTGCTGCTGCTGCTGCTGCAGCACAGCGCAGCAAACTATCCTCCCTCCCTCCATGGGTTTAATGCAGCAAACCTAACATTTAAATATATAATAGAAATAGAAGAAATGTCTGCTGCTGCTGCTGCTGCTGCAGTTGCTGCAGCAGCTGCTGCTGCTTGTGTGGCGCTGCTGCTGTCCTAGCAGGAATATACCAGCACACCTTGCTGCTGCAGCTGCTGCAGCTGCTGCTGCTGCTGCTAAATTGTCCTTTTTATTTTTAATTAAATTTATTTTATTTATTTCAATTCATCTTTGCATGCAAACAGCAGACTGCAGCCCCAAGGGGCCCCTGCGTCTCAATGGAAGGAAGCAGCAGCAGCAGCAGCAGCAGACAGAAGACGCAGCAGCAGCAGCAGCAGCAGCAGATAGAAGTGTTGTGTGTATAATAATGTACTTTTGTATAAAAAATAAAATTAATTTGTTTAATGAGAAGAAGTTTCTTTAGAGGTGATGGATCTGCTGCGCTGCAGCAGCAGCAGCAACCGCAGCAACAGCAGCAACAGCAGCAGAAACAACGAAAATATTAGCAGCAGCGACAGCAGCAGCAGCAGCAGGAGAACAGGCAACAACAACAGCACCTGCAGCACAAGCAGCAGCAGCAACAAACCCTCTAACACATATAGAAGCATCCCTTGTATCGACCCCAACCCAAACAGCAGCAGCAGCAGCAGCAGCAACAGCAGCAGCAGCAGCAGCAGCAGCAGCCATGAAGATGACACGATCGTCCTCCTCCCTCTTCACCTCCGGAGCCGTGTGTATCCAATTGCTGCATCAGGCAGCAGCACCGCGACCCTCTCCCCCCCGAGCAGCAGCAGCAACACAAACAGCAGCAGGAGCAGCAGCAGCAGCAGGAGCAGCAGCAGGAGCAGCAGCAGCAGCACAAGGGTCCTATTATTAGCTATATTAGTTATATTATTTGGTTGTATTAATGAAATAAGCGGAAGAATTCGATCAATTCCTCTACAAAGATTTAATGTCTTTGTTTCTCTTACTAATTCTATTCTTCATTCTTTTATCTATTCTATACTCATCGTAAACCCTAAACCCTAAACCCTAAACCCTAAACCCTAAACCCTAAACCCTAAAAAAATTCGAAACCCTAAAAAATCGTAAACCCT